CATGCGAAAGACTCCAATTTTGTGGTACGCAGGCCTTTCTCTTTCTCTCTATATATACGTCTTTTCGCTCACCCGCTCTATCATGCTGTCTCGCTCAATTTGATGCTGATTGAACCCATTATTTCTTCTGACAGCCCTACATAGTTGACATGCACTGTGATGTGGAGACGTGCTTGGGCCGCAACAGTCATCAACGCAGCGAAGAAGACATACGTGCTGTTCTAGACAATTGGTGTACAACGCCATTGCACTACATTAAGCTGGATGTGTCGTCTCTGCTGGAGAATGTCGTTGAAATGGAAGATGTTGAGAATATGGCAACGGTAACTATGCTTTAATGCAGCCCATGGCCCAACCACGACTCACAGCCACTGCTCCAGGCACAAATGCGCTTAAGGCATTTCACTGCCTAGGCACAGTCCAGTTGGCTGGCCTACAGTGATTTTAGTGTGTGTTTGTGTGTGAATAGGTGTGTGTGTGTGAGTGTGGCATTGGGGCTGACAGTGTGTATGACACTGACGGTGCGAGGCTGCGCACACTGCATAGTTTATATATACTTTATAACTGTATAGTTTAATTATATATTCGAACAGCTGTAGTTTCTAAGCACGAGTATAATTTAGTTGGCAATGCCATACTTAAGCAACTGTCCATGACAACTCTAATCTAAGCATCTCTCAATTACTTAACTTTATTTGCGAATGCATTGTATGTGCTACTCCTATATACATGTATTTATATCTCAACAATATATATATGCATATGTGTGTTTATTATATGCATATATTGCATAAATACGTACATAAATTCTGTTGTCCATACAAATTTATGTAGCTGTATGCCTTGAATATATGCTTATAAACGGCACCACAATTATCAAACTGTACATCTGATCAATAATAGAATTAGCATTGCGTTCTACCAATATATCAATCGAATCAAATTTGATCGAATTGCAAATAATATGAATTAAGTACCTAAGTAAATGGCAAAAGAAAGGCTAGTCAAGCAAACCCCTGTTGATTTATTGCGGCTTATTCATTTCAGGATGATAATGCCAATAGTGAGGAGTCCGCTGCCGTGGCTGCCACCGTTGCCGCTGACGACGCCGAGGATGAGGACAGCAACAGCGCCGATGCTGCCAACGATGTAAGTCTCAGACCATTCAACAATATAATGGTTTAGTTTGCACCATTGTGGGCACAATCTTCTTCTTTTGGGGCCTGTGCTGTGTGCTGTGCCTGTTTGTGTATTACATTTGCTGTCTCAATATTATTTTATTGTACAAATTTTTTTTTGACATGTGTGTTGGTTGTGTATAGTGCGGCTTTCTGAAAAGCAAGTGGGAAAATGATACCACGGAGGAAAATTTGGGTAAGTGCCGTCAAGTTAAAAGCAGTCATTTCCCACTTATGCCTAATATCCGTTAAATTATTCTTTCAGCACGTCTCGATGGCACAAAGCGGCTAATGCAAAAGCGCAAGACCGCAAGCATGGCCGACTATTTGCAATTGGATGAATGGGAACCGCCTACTGGCAGTGCTGATGGCAAGAAACGCGTAAGTACATACAATCCAACTATACTATACGAATTTTACTCAAATTATTACAAACGTTTTAGGTGCGCTGGGCGGACATTGAGGAGAAGCGCGCACAGAAAAAGATGCGTGCAATTGGCTTTGTTGTTGGGCAGACCGATTGGAAACGGATGATGGATCCCAATGCTGGAAATCGTGCGCTCAACAAAACTAAGTATATAGAGCGCGTGAACAAACGGCGTTAATAATCAAGATCTCCCAATCGATGACGAGACAGCAAAGCCCGTATTTTCGCCCTATTGACACACGTACACAAATATAAACGGATATGCTTATAAACGCAAGCCACCTCATCTAACTTGGCTTTTATTTTATAATTTATAGTTAATAGTAAATTATATAGCAGTTGGCTAACCTTTGTTGTTAACAAAATGCTCGCATGCATCTAAATGCCTGGCATTTCGGCATTTGCGTGTCGAAGCTAACAGTGTAAAGTAAACAACCTAATCAAATACCTTTTCCAATACAATATGTGCTCAATTTCCAGAACAGAATGCATGACTTGTATAGCATATACTATATGCTAAAGTTAGTTTTTATAAATACGTAAATTAGGCCAACGTTTAGTTTTGTATGCATTTACAACCAAAGTAGCAGTTGGTTAGTATTTGGAATTTGTATTATTTTTTATCATTTCTGTTTTTCATATAATGTTTCGAGCTACGCTCTTTAAAGAACATGCATCCAAACATGCAGAACCTTAGCAAAGAGAACATAATAGATATTTATATATTTATATCTTGAAATATACGTTTTAAATAAATATATAAAACTATATATGTACAGTACAGTAAATGCTCACGCCCTTCAAAGCGGAGTATATGCGTATTTTAACAAGGTTTTAAAATTCAATTTCGAGTAAAAAATTTCGAAACATAAATTCTTTGCTGCCTGTATTACTTTTATGAAATATATTTTAATTATTAGCATATAAATAGATGAATTAGTCTACTGACATAATGAAATTAAAGTGCAACCTTATAAAAGAAAACAAAAAAAAAAAAAAAAAAGAATTAAAAAAACAAATAACTGAACTATAATTTAATCGTTGGGGTTTTCATGAATAACTTCCTTTGCAGACTTACCAACAGCAAAGCTCACTTAGAGCTTTACGAAGACTTGGGCAAGTAATATCGCGACAAAGCAGATTAGGAAGCATTGGACAATTTTTACATCGACCAAGAATAATTAAATATATAAATTTCAAATGGTGTAATATTTCATAAATGAATGCTAGCATTTCGTGCTCGGTTTGAATTGAATAAAATATTGAGAAGAAGATTAACAAAAGCACGTTTGAAGTTGAATAATTTTCAACAAAAACGATCGTAAGACTGATAAGTTATGTAATTTGATTAAGATTAACCCTATATGTTTATTATACAGAATTTGAATGTGATTTCAAATATAAACAAAACACCAGTCTGCACACGAAGTTTCATTTAATTTAAACGCCTTCATGAATAAAATACTGTAGCTACGATTTGCTCCAATTTAATTACGCTATAAAATGGCATTTTAAACCATGTTTAAAATAAATTGTTTTGAGCTTATACTACCTACCACCTTAAAGTTCCAGCTTATACACATGGCCAACATATTATATGTCATTAACCGTATATCTAGAGATATAATATGCTGTCCAATCACTTCTCATATGTTACAAATCTTTGCCAAGCTGGTCTCAGCCGTGCTCGAAGATTGATTTAATTACAGAATTGTATTTAAGAATTTCGGCTGTAATACTTATGTACCCAACTTTTTTTACATTAATTAATAACTTAGAATTTTTTTTTGCTTTCGTAGAGATCAGTTAAGATGCATTTGCGGATATGCAAAAAACCTATTTAGCATGGTAACAAGTAAGAGGTTCTAGTCGGGTGCTCCCGACTAGGGGATACCCTGAACCCTCTTCCAACATCAAATGCATATATGTATATATTCTATTTTAGAAGCTATATGTCAAGTTTGGTGACCAAAAAAACAGGATATCGATATCGATTTTTATCGATTGCTTGGAAACGGAGTAAGTTATCGATTATCGAAAACAAACTCTATTTGCGCGGGCACTAGGAGCACCACAATCTAATTTCAAGTCTCTAGCTCTTATAGGTTATGAGATCCTTGCGTTCATACATACGGACAGACGGACGGACGGACGGACGGACAGACGGACATGGCTAGATCGACTCGGCTATTGGTGCTGATGGGGTCAGAGATGCTTCCTTCTGCCTGTTACATACATTTGGATTTTGCACAACTACAATATACCCTTATACCCATTTTTAATGGGTTCAGGGTATAAAAAGTGTTGTACAATAGTTTTCTACATAGGTAACAGGCAGAAGGTATCGCGGGACCCAAAAGTTATATATTGTAGACTGGGTCAACCGAGTCAATCTAGCCAAGGTCATGGACATGTCTGTCTGTGTCTAATTTTGCTAAGGCACTCGCATGTCGAGTTTATTTCAAGTAAATTCTTCGAAATCAATAAGTATCAGATTAGGTTTTCTAAGCAGTTTATCCTCATATCTAATTTAGCATGAAAGTTCTCGTATAGCTTACAGAGATCACGATAAACTTACCATCCTTCGTTTCGACACTGAAATTATTTTTGAGAATGCTTATGACATAGTGGAGAACTTGTGGACGAAGCACAACCGCGTGTGTGTGTTTTGTGGAAAGAACTTCGAATCTTGGTTAGAAACTAAATAATTACGTCAAGAACTGGGACAAATAATTACAATGTTCAATTTCCTGGCATCGATCGAGCCACGCGATGTTTGCGAATTATCACAGCCACAACAGAAACAACAACAGCAGCAGATGTTTTGGCAACTAACGACAGGCAATCGCCCCAGCAGCAGCACCACACACATCCGCCACACTCCCTCACACACACATACAGGGGCGCACGTCCATTGCGTAGCTAGCGGCATGCGCGTGAGTGTCAAAAAGGAGTGCTGCCCATAGGACACAAGCACCAATACATGCTAGCATTCACACGCTCTCATACACATGCTCACATTCACATTCGCATTCGCATTCGGTTTCGCATTTTGGCGACGGGTCTCCAGGCCGAAGCCAAAGTCGCGGCCACGAGGCTAAACAGCCAGCGCAGTTTAGTCGAGCAACGTAACTCGAAAGCAACGGACGCCCGTGCCGCGCAGCCACCAACAACAACACGAGCAACAGCAATAGCAACAACTGAAACAGCATTAATAATAAAAACAATAACAACAAATATTATAATAATAACAACAACAACCATAGAGTCCCGTTGTAAAGCACAAGTTGAACGCACTGAAAGGCCAAAAGCAACAATAACGTTTATTTCCTCCTCGTTTTGTTGTTTGTTTGTTTGTTTTTTTTTGTTGTTGTTTTTTTTTAGGTAGTTTTGTCATTTGTTTAATTGATTCAAAGCAATTTTTTTATGTGTGTGTGTGTGTGTGTGTCTGTTGCTGAATGTTGAATTCGCCCAGTGGCGAAGTGGAAGTTACGTCAAAGGGAGCCAACAGCCAGGCGACAACAACAGCAACAATAGAAACAACAACAACAACTGAAACAACAGCAATCGACGCGCCAAGCCGTGTGTCAGCCTTTGGCGCGTCCTCCTCTGCCCTGCCGCTCCCCCCGCTGTTGGCCCGAGTTAGCATTTGTTGTATTTGTTTTTGGTATTTTCGCTTTCTATTTAGTTTATTACCTATTGCTGATTTTCAGCCGGCAACGCGGCTCGTGCACGGACGCTTATGTAAAGTGTAATATGGAAGCATGTCTTCCACATCCAGCTCCGTGCTAGCGCTGTCTTCGTTCAATTTATTATTTTTCACCCAAGGTAAGGATAAACGGAATAATACGCACAACTTGCCTGTCGCAGCTTTATATAATCTGCGAACGATTATCTTCGCTCACGCCAAACATTTAATACCCTTGCAGACCATATATGGCCAAATACATTGATTTGCAAGGATTCTTCCTATATGACATATAGGAGTTGATATGCTTAGTAGAGAGAGGCTGCATAGTGAAGCTGTTAGAATTCAAGTTTGGTTGAGATATCTTGAAACACAAAATCATATAAATACTTTATTTTCGACCAATCGTTCCTATGGCCAAAATATGATATATTCGTTAGTTTTTAATAAAATTTCAGATATTTTAAATAAGAGAAGCTTTACATACTTGAATTTTAGTTATGACAGCTCATTCCTACGGCATCTTTTTTATACTTATAGTGGTCGGATGTTGACAAGATTTTGCATATATGTTGGGAGCATAGTAAAACTTATATATGCTTAAGATATCTTGATAAATGAAAATGTGTTTCCTACAAGTACCTAATTTTCTGCCGATTGTTCCAATGCTAGCCATATTAGATAGTAGAATAGTTAAACTATTAAATGTCAAAGTATCTTGAAAAACGAGCAAGTTGATTACATAAGAATTGGATCTTCGACCGATCATTCCTATGCCAGCTATATAATATAGTAGTTCGATGTCGATAAGATTGTGCTCATATACAAGGCGCATTATGTGGTTCGGAAATGTTGAGTCTAGTCAAGATATCTTTTAAAACGAATAAGTTATAAACTAGCACTTAAATTTTGAACTATTGTTCCTATGATAGCTATATAATGCAGTGATCCGACTCTCTAGATTCCGATATATGTACAGTCTGCAACAAAAAGACGAAGTTATCCAGGGTTTTTTGAGAATCGCAAGGAAACGGACGGGCAGATATCCATTTGTCTCTTGATACTGATCAAGAATATATAGATTTAATGCCCGCTGCTAGGCTTAACACACTTCTCGAGTACATTATAATGCCCTCTGCAAGGCAAATGCAAAATAAAGAGTATTAAAAAATTACCTATGCTTGCAAACAGCAGTTACCCCTCATTGCCTATGCACCTGGCAACACATGCCGCTGCCTATGCCGAGCTACATATAAACGGCTTTCATAATTAATAATCAGCTTTGGGTTTTGGCCAAAAAGCCCAAGGGCTCGCTCAACACACGGCTTTCTGTGTAGAACTGACCTAATTTGGCTGCGATTCGGCTGAAGCACTCGCAGAGTCCCATTCCGATGCGCTTTGGGAGTTGTTTATCTTGTTCAGTTTGACAAGTAAGAAAGACAGAGAGAAAAACAAGGCTATAATTATCCTGCCTGCAAATGTGACCCATTAATTATTATGCCGTTTCCATTAATTAAGTTGCGAAGAAGTGCTCAACCAACTGACCTCTGCATATTTATTTTGGGATTCAACACTTATCATAATCACAAAAAATGGGCTTAATTAAACCAAAATTGCCAAATACTCGACTGGTAAATACCTTGTGCACAGCTCTAGGAAAAATTGTAAGCATTCTCAATGCGACTCTGACAGATTTGGCGAAATTCACTTCAATTGCTGAAAAATAGGTGGAAATATTAATTGGAATTTATTAGAATAACTGTTTACATATATTTATATATTATAAGATTCATCTAGAGATTTGCATCTCATCGTGAACCTTCAATGATGATATTATATAAAAGCCGCTCTCATTTGGTGGAATTTCGAATTGATATAAGTTTATTTATGATATTTTTTCATCCGATCGAATCATTTACTATGTTATGATAAAATATAATTTGATAGAACGGTGGCTAAAATTGATGGAAGACCAGGTCGGATAAATAGCTTGCTAGTCTTCTCATATCCTTACCCATAGTTGGGTCTTATACTTTAGGGCATAGTCCAGTCGAGCATTTTGGAAAGAATTGCTGTCCTTTTTATTGCAATTTGCTGCGAATTAATTAACTGTGAGTTGTATATTGATTTTTCCTTAAGTTGCTTCGACTTCTGTTAAGAAAGTAACTTATGCTTTTATTAATAGGCTACGGTTGAAACATGCGCGTATTATCGCAGTTTTTTTTCTTCTCCCATTTAACTTGCCGTTAAATTAACATCAATTTGATGGCATTGCGCGGGCTTTTGTTATTGCTGTTGGACAATAAATCTGTGTCGACCAGTCCTAAGTCTAGCTAAATAAACTGTGCACCGTAATCCTACCCAGCCGAGGACCCGGACCCGGACCCGGCCTCGAACCCAGAGCCCATTTGTTTTACTCGAAGCTACAGCTCGATTTGCATGCAAATTGCGTATAAATCCTTGAGTCGTTCTGCTGTTCCTTTGGCCCTTTGGTCCTTCTTGTTGACGTAGCTGTTGGCCCTGCATCGACTCAACAATCGCGTGCCCCAGCAACTGGGCGTTGGGGCGTGGCAACACGACAGCTGACGTCCCACAAATCTTCAGCAATTGCTGCCTCAAACGTGACACAACTTATTCTCTCCATGTCTTTTACCTTTTTTTTATCGCTTTAGTCCTGTTCGCGGTCATCTAATGACCGCAACGTTTACTTTTAATTAAAAAGTTCCTTGCCCAGCCAAGAATAAATAAATAAAGAATCGCGGCAACGCGAACAGGATAAGTGCGCTCCCATTCAATTTCGCCAGCATTTTCAATGTTTTGTTTGTCTTTGTAACTTTGGCAGCTCCTGCCGCATCCTTAATGAGTGTGCACACGACCTGGCCACAGCCCATATTTTAGCCCAATGCCAGCTAATGGATGGTAGATAGTGAAAGTAAACGCAAGTGCAACAATAATCTAAATGATATTGAGTTTTACATTCTGTGTGTGTGCTTTTTATACCCTGAACCCATTAAAAATGGGTATAAGGGTATATTGTATTTGTGCAAAATCCAAATGTATGTAACAGGCAGAAGGAAGCTCCTCCGACCCCATCCGTCCGTCCGTATGTATGAACGCAAGGATCTCAGAACCTATAAGAGCTAGGGACTTGAAATTTTAGATTTAGAGCTCCTAGTTCCCGCGCAGATCGAGTTTGTTTCCGATAATCGATTACTTACTCCGTTTCCAAGCAATCGATAAAAATCGATATCGATATCCTGTTTTTTTTTTTTTTTGGCAATTTTGGTAAATAATAACAGCTAGAGTCACCAAACTTGACATATAGCTTCTAAAATAGAATATATATATGCATTTGATGTTAGAAGAAGAGGGAACAGCGTATCCCCTAGTCGGGAGCTCCCGACTAGAACCTCTTGCTTGTTTTGTCTAGGTTTTTGTTTTCATTTGACACAAATACTAGTTCAGAGTCTATTTAAGCCTGCCTTCTAATTGCAAGCTTTATTTACGTAGATTCTATCAATAAAGGCTAAACTTACTGCAAAGGGAAAAGGAAAAGGAAAAAGGATTGATATTTCAATATTCAATTTTTATTCTAAAGAACAGCTTTTTATCAGCAACTTAATGGAACCTTTACAAAAAGGGCGTTGGTTCAAACCCATACTTTTATTATGCTTGTTCTTAATATTATTTTAGTATTTGAAATTTAAAGTAATTTCAATAAAAAATGTATGCAAATATTTGGTTTATAATAATTTGAATTGTTGTATTCAAAAATGTGCTGGAAAGCTCAGATAGCCAGCTTCACAGACAATGAGAAAAACAGTTAAGTAATAAATCCAGAATGTAATTCTCCTTAGCTAGGACAGTTGGGAAAGATAAAAGATAGCCGAAGATGACGAAAGGGTTCAATTCAAATATATGCTTTTAAAATTTAGGGTATCATTGCATATGTTTGAAAATTTCACTAAAATTAAGCTTAGAAAAGCTAATAATTCTTGAGGATTATATGTATAACTGTAATATAACTGTTTGTAAGAGCCTTAATGTAATGTTTATGTTAAGAGATAAGTGTAGAACAAGAAGTTGAACTACTTTCACTTTGATAGACATGGTTGCAGAATAAGTAGTTAAATTACTTTAAAGCAGACCATTTGCGACCCTTTATGTGATCAACTCAGTTCTTTAGATCTGTGCCCCACATTTATGCTATGATGGCAGATATCCGGCATCCTGTGCCGCGCGTGTTACATGTTATTTGTTGGCTCATCCGATTCATATTTATGCATGAACTTGGCCATTGTTTGGCCAGAAGCAACAATTGCATGCAGCAAGCAGCACATAAGAGAGCAAACTGTCAGAGCCAGAGGCAGTTGCCCCAGCACACAGATCGGGCATTTGAGCGATTTCAGCTGTTAGAAAGCCATTGTGTGGTTGACTGCCTGCTGCATGCTGCCTGCTGCTTGCCCAGTTGGGTGGTTGAGGTGGTTGCAAGCCTCGTGGATGTTGCCTCTGTTTGGTTAGCTGCCAATGGGTTTTGTGGCTTGGTTGTGACAGTGTTGACTTGTTTGTTGACGTGTTCTTATGCCATACCCAGCCACACATGGCCGCCATTTGAAAGGGGGGCATGCAACACAACAAAGTGCAATAAGCTCTGAACCCGCCCAACAACAATACAAGAACAGGCAACAATTTGGGCCCGGCTATTTTTATGGCAGCCACTGGAGCCAAATTTCAATGCCAAACGCAAAAGGTTAGGTGTCATGTATCAAGCACTCTTTGTTCTTTACATAAACACACACGCACACCACACACACACACACAGATGACGACACACATGCCAATGGGCTCATGTTATTGCATTGATTTTCTTTTCAATGGCATTGAGTGGGCGCAAGGTTAAGACTTTATCGTCTTGTGGGTGTATTTTTAGCTGTTGTTTTTATGGGCTATACCCATTGAAAGTTAGTAAAAGGGGCATTGCAAGCTTGTGCCTATGTATGTAACAGACAGAAGCAGGCATCTTTGGAATCGGAAGGTCCGTTCTGTTTGTTAGTCAAGGGCAAAAAATCCATTCGCAGATAAAGTTTCAAATGTTTAATAAAAAACTTCGTCATCACGAAATCAATAAACATAGTTGTCA